TTTCTTGTAAATTCTATAACTTTGCAAATAAACGTCATGTAGAGCTGGGGAATGTCTCATTTTAATCAGAAATGTGCGCGCTACAATTATATCTTATTTAAAAATGTTTTGGTTATTTTTTAAAGTTCTGAAAAGCTGGTTTTCTAGAAAACTGGGTCTTCAAGAAACATACATTGGGAAAGATGCTTTATGCCACTAGAATCAGCTCGTCGAGCTCTATCGACTGGGATACCTCTCGTTAGCATCTGTGATTAACACTTGGGATAGTTCCCTCGTTAGAGAAAATTATCTAAAATATGTCTATTGTATAGGTCAATCACTTGTTGCACATCCAAATCAAAAGGTTCCGGATGATTATTGGCTCAGCAATTTATATACTGCTGTACCATCTCGTTCATTTTTTCCACGTGGATTTTTATGGGATGAAGGTTTTCATAATTTATTAATTGCACGATGGAATAAAAATATAACATACGATATTCTATCTCATTGGCTTGACATGTTAAATGATAATGGATGGATACCTCGAGTAGGTTAGAATATATACAAAAATTAAACAAATAAATATATTTTCTTTTCTTCTGGTTTTTAGGAAATGATACTCGGTCATGAAGCTCGTGCACGTGTTCCAAAAGAATTTATTATTCAATATTCGACAAATGCTAATCCACCTACATTTTTTCTTACAATCGATTATCTATTAAAAACAAACTTTAATTTTATAAATAATTATGATACAAATAAATTTCGAATATTTATTCAACGATTAGAAAAATGGTATAAATGGTATAATCGTACACAAATTGGTCAATTACCGTTTACCTATCGATGGCGTGGACGAAATTCATCATCTATATACGAATTAAATCCAAAAACATTAACAAGTGGTCTTGATGATTATCCACGTTCTTCTCATCCAACAGATAATGAAAGACATTTAGATTTAAGATGTTGGATGATGTTAGCATCAAATGTTATTGGAAAATTATATCAAAAACTGAATAATAAAAGAGATGAGACTAATATTTATATCGATTATGCACAATTATTAGCTGATAATGAACGTCTTGATCAACAACATTGGTCAGAGCAAGATGGAATGTATGCTGATTATGGTTTACATACAGATTATGTACATTTACAACGAGTGACTATTCCAACTAAACAAAATCAACAACATCAACAACAGGAAACACACATGATTAGACAAATAACAAGACAATCTGATTTAACCTATAAATTCGTCAAACATTTTGGTTATGTATCTCTATTTCCATTAATGACAAAAATTTTAAAACCAAATTCATTAAAATTAGACAAGTTATTAACAGATTTAACAAATCCAACGTTATTATGGACATCATTTGGGTATGTATAATTTCTGTTTCGGATATTAAGTCTGATATATCTGACATAGATGGAGTCTCTATCATCTTGATTTGAAAGAAATTTTATATATTGAATAATATTTCACTCAAATCGATTATTTTCTTTTTAGTTTGAGATCATTAGCACAAACAAGTACGTTATATAATATGAGAAATACTGAGCATGATCCACCATATTGGCGTGGCTCAATTTGGATTAATATGAATTATATGGTATTAAATTCATTAAATTATTACTCTAAAACATCTGGACCATATCAAGAGAAAGCTAAAACAATTTATCAACAACTAAGAACAAATTTACTAACGAATATGTATCGAGTTTATGAGAAAACGGGTTTTGTGTGGGAACAATATAATGAAAAAACGGGTAATGGTCACGGTGTTCATCCATTTACAGGTTGGTCATCGTTGATCGTATTAATTATGGCTGAACTATATGATGATTAAATAGTTTTATTGTTAATATAATTCCATTCGTTTTGTTACATCAGGTTTGTATTCAACTTTTGTATACTAATTTTGTTAATTAATTATTATATAACACTGAAGATGCATACAATACAAATGTTTGTAGGTGTTTAAAACATTTAGACTTTATTTTAACATAAAATACCTCATTCCTCTTAATCTCAAAATGACTAGTTTATTTCTGATCATAACATTTGAGTCCTATAGTTTGTATCAATATACTCATCTATTCGACATGCTTAAAAAAATTCTAGTTATTATGAATTATGTTCGAACGTATGTAAACGAAACACGTAACACTACTGTTAGATTAAAGAAGAACTTTAAAGGTTTATTTATCTTCCACAACTTAAAATGTTTGTGAACTAAATATCTTTTGTCGGTCACTTTTTATAATGTGTATCGTTGTTTTTTATAAATTTTATATTGTCTTTAAAAAAAAATGTTTTTATTATTCTTTTTTGTTTATTGAACATCTCTGTCATCTTACTAGATGATTTTATTTGTCACAATTAGAAAATTTTGTTGTTGTCAGGTTAAAAGTGATATTGTTTTTTTTTTTATTTTTTTTTGTTTTAGTTTCATTGTGCACACATCCACACATTACTGTCTTTTCTTGGTTTTTTGTAATTTTTTATACTTGTTTTCTCTTGTTTTTATGTTGTTGTATTTTTTTTTTAATTTAAAAAAAAACAGATTTATTTCCCGATGAAATATCAAAATTCACGTGTATTCATCTTTCTTTTTGATTAATCTGACATCAGTACGATTTTGATGTTAAGAGTATGAAAGGTTAAGTGTCATACAGTAGAGATCAGTATGAGTTTTGCAAGTAAAAAGCTTTATTAGCTAAAGTTGTACGCATCTCTCTTAAAAACTACTGAAATGACATTTCTATTTGTATTCATTTCATTTCTTACTTATATCTCACTCAATCTCTCGAAGTACTTATGTTTAAAATTGATTTACTTACTTTATGTATGTTTTTTAGACTATTTAACGTCAAATGAGTCAATTAATACCATTTCAAAATTATCGTTCGAATAATCAATCAATCATTCAACAACTCAGATCCATTTCTAGATCATTTTTTTGTAATAATGAGAGTACTAAGTGTTTATATGATTCAGACACTGATAATTATCAATTTATAGCGTGTCCTGTACTATTATTAACTGAAATGAACAATAATTCAATATTTAGTACATTAATATCAGATAGATTATATTCATTTCATGAAAAATACAATGGTTGTTCATCGAATACACTTTTATATTTATTTTGTACATTCTATGAATTATTTGATGAACAATTCAGTAGTTTGATGGATGATACACAAACAAATTCTATTCTTGAATCTTTAGAACAACTTATTAACGATACAAGTATTATTGCTCAAGAAAATTTTCGACAACGATTATTTGCAAGTCAGATATGTATTAAGGTGAATAGAAACAATTCTTTTATTTTAAATTCAATATGAAATGATCGAATAAATTTTCGATTTTTCAAAGGATAAGTGAACAAAGTGTCATCAACTTTCGATATATGATAAAATGTTTTTATTGTAGAATGTAGCCTATGTCAATGACATTATATTACGTATTTGTCGTTATCAACAAATATATTCCGATTCCCTATTTGATGTATATAAATATTTTGTTATACAACAAAATGTAAATAATTTATCAACATTATCAGATTTATTTGACTCTTTAAATCATGTAACAATTGTTGAACATAGTCAAGAAAAATGTTATATATTAACAGGTGGTATTGCACTACCTCAATTATCAACTCAACATTTACAAATAGATATTAAAAATGAATTAAATAGAACAATTTTAATTGATGGATGTTTATCAGAAGATTATTCTCATCTTGGTTATGAAATGAAAATGAAATTAAAACAAAAAATTATTATGGATGAAATTTTATCATCAAAAAAATCTTGGCTTAATTTAATTGAATCAATAATAAAACAATATAATATTACATTAATACTTTGTTCATCAACAATCGATCTTAAATTAAAAGAGCGTACATGTTCTTATTTGAAAACAATTGAAAATATTCCTATTCGTATATTAAAATTATTATCATCAACTAGTTTATTAACATATTTAACAGATTTAGATGATGAAAATACAAATATTATTCAAACACGTTTAATTCAATCAGAGAAAATAAATTCTATTTATTTAATTTCAAATGAAAATGAAAAATCAAAATTATTTGTAAATATTATACAATGTGTACCATTTGAAAAATTAATTTATATTCAAAGTGAACGTTTTAAACATTGTTTAGCACGTTTTAAACAAATATTAAAGGTAAATTGTTTTGTTAATGGTTCAAGTAAATTTGAAGAAAAAATATATGAATATTGGTATAAATTTAGAAAAAATAATCAACAAATCAATAGTATAGAATATAAACTTGCTATTCAATATTATTTAGATTGTTTAGATTTTTATATTAAATATATTAAATCATTACCATTTTATGTACCATCTATTATAGATGATTTTTATTCAAAAATGGATGCATGGAAAATATGTATTCAATTATTAAAGATAATAATCAAAATTGATTATGTTGCAAAAACAGATCACATTAATTATGATATCTAATTGTCAGATTTATTTTGCTAAAATTTATAGGAAATATTTTATCTTTGAAATGAAATAGTGTGGAGCAATTTTTTTCATTGCATTTTTCTATATTTTTTTTTTTGAAATTTTTTTTGTCATAAAACTACATTTGATGTAAGATGTGTGTCCTTTATTATGGTTTTTTTTTTTTGGTTTTTTTATTCGTGATGATCATTTCTCTTTTTCATACAACTTGACGCGAGAATTAGCAATTTTTGCTTATTTTATTTTATCTATTTCATTTTTCACTCAATACTTTTTTAAACGAAAATTCTATTCTGCTTTGCATGATATTGTGTAAGGGTAATTATATGAAGTTTTTCTAGAAAAGTGTTGGTGTTAGTGATAAGATTCTACACACTTTGTAGTGAGCAATGAGTACTATCTATAAAAATTCAAGGATTTTAAACTCATTTTCTTAGAATTGAATCAATAGCATTTCTGTACATAGTTTGGGATACTGAATGTATATTAAATATTTCGGCTATTTTTCGTATGAATTTATGAATTGAGAGATATCCAACTATGAATTTGAGTTGAATGTTTATTTTATCATTTTAATTTTTAGTATAAAGTCAAGAAAATTAAAATTTGTGTAAGAGAGAATAAAAACAGAAAAACAATGTGTTTTCTTTTGAATTTGGGTAGTGTTTATCGAGTTGTTCAAATTGTGTAGGATTTTGCCATTGGTACCAAAACGTTAGTGAACCTTGAGATATATATTTGATATAAATACACTTATACAAGATCTTGTAGAACAGAAAAGAAACAGTTTCATTCATATATATATATATATACACACACACACTTATATCTCACTACTCAGACCAGATGAAGCACCATTTGGTGTTTAACAATGATGCGTGAGAATCTTCCTTTTTATTAAATATCTATGATTTCTAAATATCATTTTAGTATCATTTTCATATTTTTTTTCTCTCATATAAATATGTATTTTATTCTCGATTAAAATTTTCATCGTATTAATTTTGTTCCTTATTCTAGACAAATTTCAGAACAAATATTATTAATTTAATGCATAGTTTTAATTATTTATGCATTTATTTATATATATAATATAATTTGACAAGTTGTTTTTGTTTTAAAGTAAGTAATTATTGTCAATACAGATTCTTATTGTTTGTCAGCAATTTTTACTCTTTTCATTATACAATATTATAAATGTAAGTTATTGATATAAATTAGAAGAGTATCATTTGACAGTGATATTTTTCTATTGTTGTTGTTGTTGTTTTTTATTACTTTTATTCATAGGTATATTATTCAATTGTTCGATAGTATTAATTTATATTCTTTTATGACATTTATCGTTTTTAAATAAAATCCACATATTAAATTTAATTTAACTCTAAATTATTTAACTTTAATAGTTAACGAATTTATTGATTTTTTTTTTTGCATTTTTTTGTTTTCTTCTCATTGTTCACACATATAACGATCCGAAAATTTTTCTTACTACTTATCTCTATTATAATCTTTTTTAGAGAAAATTTTTAGAGTATTTAATTTATGTGTTATTTTAACGAATGAGATGAGATCAATATATTAGACTAGTCTTCTATTTATTTAGTTATATACATAGTATAAGATACAGCGAATAGTATACGGATATATGGTTTAAATTTCATGCACGACACATTTAGCATTATTATATAAAACGAAAAAATAAGAAGGAAAAAGAAATCATAAAGTTTAAAATATTTTTCTTCTTTTTTTTTTCTCTCTCGCTTTACTTTTGAATCTATTCCTGCGAATATTACCTTTGACTGGATGTGAGTTTGTATGGCATCCTATAATACACATTCAGGTACAAATAAAATAGTCAGAGAAGAGACTCTACAGATGAATGAATATATATATATATCGAACAAAGTTGAACAGAAAACTTTTGTATAAAATTATTTTTAGAATTATAGTTGAACTTCTTAATGACTCAAAAGATAAAATATATCCATATCTTTTTTTTTTTACTAAAATTTCACTTGAAACCAACCTATTTTTAGATTTTGTATATTTGTTTATTCTTTTTTATGTTTTTTTGTTTAGTGCTGCAGTTTACTTCATTCAATCTTTAATCGTCATCATAGTGATCATTATTTATGAACATAATTTTCTTATTAAACTAATAATTATTATTCACGTTTTATTTTTTTCCTTCTCCGTTATATTTGTCACTGTTCTTTTTTATTGTAATGTAATGTGTGTATATGCATATGTGCAATGTTAAAGATTCGATCGTTTCCTTTTCTCAAAGTAAGTATCATTAATAGTGGTAATGGTAAAAAAACATAATATTTCTTTTTCTTTTTATCCAATTCTTTAATATTTTTTAATCATTGTAAAACTTGCAAAGATAAGTAAACATACGGGATCTTCAAGTAGTACAGGATAAATTTTACATAAGATTTCTCGGATTAAAAGGCATAAAGAATTTTGTCAAAATTTAAAAGAAAATAATAGTTTATCTCTTATTTTTGTTTATCATATAATATTTAATAATAGTAGAAATATCTGACATCAATGATTCTTCTCTTTGTCAATGATTAAAAATAAAATATATACATGGCCTTTTCGTTGCTTAATTTTAGCTTCGAAGAATGGCTTTATCAACTCGAGCATATGTACTAGTATCTAGTGTGATTTTATCACTTTTATTAATATCATTATTTATTTATGCTCATAATCATTATCAACGAGAACATAAACCACTTACAGAAATTCTTCTATCGAATGGAACAAAAATATTCGTTAATAATGATAAATCAAATGAACAAACAAAACAACTTAATCAAGACTGGCATGATAAAATAAAAGATAAACTACATAATAGTGCAAATTTTGGCTTTATTCATGCACTTCTAGCATCATTATCCGTTATTGTTGTGAGTGAATTAGGTGATAAAACATTTTTTATTGCTGCTATAATGGCTATGAGACATCCACGTTTAGTTATCTATGGTGGTGCAATGGGAGCTCTAGGATTTATGACTATATTATCGGCGCTATTAGGAAATATTGTGACTAAATTTGTACCACGAATATATACGTATTATATATCAAGTGTATTATTTGCGTGTTTTGGTGTAAAAATGTTAAGAGATGGTTATATAATGTCACCGGACGAAGGTACAGACGAATATGACGAAGTTCAACAAGATATTGAAAAAGCAGAATCTTCCCTTGATCCAGAAGGCGGTTTGCCGTTGCCAAATGGTGGAACATCATCACAACAACGTTCGCAATCAAAACAACTACGTACAACATCATTTCTTCGACGTTACATTTCACCAATCTTCTTACAAGCCTTCATAATGACATTTTTAGCTGTAAGGATATTTAAGATTTAGAAAATTTTCAATTGAATATAGAATATAATAATGTGCATTATAATCTATATATTTTTTGAATCTCTTCTTATATTTTTATCTTTTAACTCGTTATCATCTAGAAAAATTCACTCGAAAATGCGCCACAGACACAGCGCCAAGCTTTTTCTTAAACAAAGGACTTTTGGTTTTGAGCTGATGCACATATTTTTTTCGATTTTAGGAGTGGGGTGATCGATCTCAAATAACAACGATTGTTTTAGCAGCCAGTGAAAATTTATTTGGTGTTATTGTCGGTGGAACTGTCGGTCATGGCCTTTGTACAGGACTTGCTGTTCTAGGAGGCCGCTTTGTAGCCCAAAGAATATCGCCGAAAACTGTAACGCTTGTTGGTGGTGTTGTTTTTCTATGTTTTGCACTCTCAGCTTTTTTTATCCGTCCCGATAAGTAATTAAATGTTACTAAAATTATAGTTTCAATCTTTTCTTTTGGTAAAACTGAGTTGTTTCTGGTTTGAAGAAAATATAACGGATGCACCATAATGAATGATACCCTCCGTATTTTCTACATTTCTCTTATTCCTTTAGATCCCTAGGATTAATGTTTTTTTTAAAGATTCGCCATTTCATTCTCTGTTAGAATCTCTAAGAAATTTTGGTTTATGATCAACACAAAAACTTAGTCGAAAAACTTTGAAAGCGACCAACTTCATAAAGAAGATAAAAAAAACAAATCCGAACCTCTAAACTTCATTTTTGGCCGATTAATAAGAGTTTTATTGGAAGCACCAAACACGGAAGACGAAGAAGTTTAAGTACAGCAAAATTTTAGACATAAAAAATGCCTAAAAATTGAAGAATAACTTCGATTCAAAGATGAGTTTTGACGTCAAGAAATTTAAAGTATAGCTAAAAAAATAGAGTTTTTTTCGAGCTACAAGATGGTTAGTTTGGTATTTCAATTAAAAAAGTAGCTGAACGAAGGAAATCTGTTGTCTGAATTACAAAGCCTTTCAAAGTTTTTCGTCTAAATTTTTCTATTGTTCATAAACCAAAACTTCTTACATGTTCTAATAAAGAATGGAATGGCGAATCTTGTAAAAAAAACCATTAACCCTAGGGATCTAAAGGAATAAGAGAAAATACGAAGGATATCATTCATTATGGTACACCCGTTATATCTATATATACTTTATTAAAATTAAAACATTCTTAAACATAGCTCATTCCTGTTCTCAACAGATCGATCATTGAGTTAAGTTATTATTCTTTCCTCCCAGGATCTTGTGATGTTTCCAAATGTCCGGTGAAACATTGATCAAGTATTAGTTAATGAACTTCGCTCTTTTTTCTTTTAATGTTTCAATTCGACATGCTAAATGGTTTTCGTTTTATTTGTTCGTATTCCGTTTAGCACTCTAACAGAGCAAGAAGATTTATGTTGTTATTATTGTCGCATTTTGTTACCTAATTAAAAAAAATATGTTATTCCATAGTCTGTAATTTAATTTTTATTCATTTTATGTCTAAGTTTTGTATTTGTTATTGTGAATGATCAAAAGGAAGAAGAAAACATATAGAATGACACGGGTTAGTTTTTATCAGCTATTTTAAAACATACTAGATTTCGTAAAATGGAGTATCATTTTATTTCATGATCGTATCTGAAGAGTTTCTATCATTACAATGCATCGCTACTTCAGATGTTGCTTCCTCAAATTTTGACGAAAATTAACTTCACTTACGAGAAAAGGTCTCCGAGTGCTACCTCGACTTTTCCTTGAAACATACTTGATTATCGGTAATTTGTTATGTTGATCTCGAATCTGATATCTGTTCATCCCCATACGGTCTTACAGAACCTCTGTTCAAATTTGGAGTCTTCAGGAATTCATAGTGAAGTTTCGTCTGAACAAATTCTGATAGTGCCAGATTGTAGAGCATATCAGATAACCCCTGTGTTCAAGTTTTGAGAAACAAGGGACAAGTTTTCACTTAGTTATAAAAATTTCAATGTTTTATCCAGTCAAAATAAGGATCATTGAAGTATTTTTCCCATATAAAACCTATAAGTCAATGAAAACTTGTTCTCTATTTCTCAAAACTTGTACATAGGGGTTATTTGATATGCTTTACAATCTGGCACTATCAGAATTTGTTCAGACGAAAGTTCACTATGGATTCCTGAAAACACCGAATTCGAACAGAGGTTCTGTAAGACCGTATGGAAATGAACGGATATCAGATCTGAGATCAGCATAAAAATTACCGATAATCAAGTATGTTTCAAGAAAAAGTCGAGGTGACACTCGGGGACCTTTTCTGATTAGAATCACTGAATAAATGAAAGTTTGTCCTGAATGGAATAAATAATTTCATTAGAACTAATTAATTGTATTGATGCTAATGGTACCAAATAAAACATAAATAATTTATCGTTGGTTCACTAATATTTTGTTAACAACGTTTCTGGTAAATTTCAAAGTATTTTCCGTTAGAAGATACTTTATTATTATTGTAGATGAAGGTTTATTTAGCATCATCCGTTCAACATAACTGGCCGTCGATTCCGGATGTTATTGAAGAGCGTATTATTTCTTGTCTTATTGAACAATTTGAGTTAATTGAGCAAACTATACCATTAAAACGTTCTAGAAATAAACAAAATCGTATTCGTACGAAAAAGACTACCACAACAACCACAACAGAAAAGAGAGACGAGAATAATAAAATATTGGTTGAAAAATATACTCATCCAATTAAACAACATTTAGCCATTGGTACACGTTCAGTAGTTAGATGTTTAAAGCAACCAAATCAGTGTTTATTAACACTGGTTTGTACATCACTAGAACCAATTATATTGACAAAACCAATTTTACTTTTGTCACAAATGAATTCGATACCAGCTGTACGTGTACGAAATTTATCATCGACTTTAACAAAAATATTTTCAATTCCACATTGTGCCACAATTGCATTTAGATCAACATCAATGATTAATACTGAACTAAAATTTCTAATTGAGAATATTATTCAGTTAATTCATGGTGAAAACACAAGTAAAATTCAAGAAAAAGAGAAAATAATGTATGTTCCTGGAAAATTAATTGCACCACATCAGAATCCAAAAAGAACAAAAACTGCACAAATAGTCAAGAAAAAGAAAAACAAAAAAAAGAATTCATAAATTTATCAAGTTGTTTTACGGTTCTATTTTTATATGTACTGAAAATAAATTTTTGTTTTGTTGTTTAAATGCGTTTAATTGAGCAGTAGTTGAAAGTCAACAGTCTTACTGTTTTTTGAGTAGAACTGTGTCCAGTTTCATAACACTGGCTCTGTTTTCTATTAAACATTACCAGATGGTATGAATAGAATTTACTTTCATATTAATTCTATATTTTTCTTTTTGTGTATTTTTTTAGATTATAGTTGAAAAAATGGAAGAATCACAGCGAAAATTGAATGATCACATTAGCAGTATGGTCTCATCATTACATAAAAATTATTTAAGAAAAATCTATGTAAGTTTGACTTTATTTTTTATATTAACGCATAATCAATCACTCTTTTTGTTTATTTCAGGGTGATACATTTAATTGTAGCTACAAATGTACCGAAGATGAGTCATTGGATCCAGTTCGATTTCATGAGTGTGTTGAACGTTGTTCAAATAAAATAACAAGAGCTGAAGAGTTAATGCGACATGAAATGGAACAAGTTCAGGTATCAAGATGAATAATGTAGTCTTGTATGAAAATTTTTGTCTAAATGACGACATTTTGTTTTAGGATCGTTTACTTCGTTGCATTCGGTCGTGCGAAGATAAAGCAAAAGATAATTCAGATAAAGATAAAATGCGAATGCAAAGCGGATTTGAAACATGCGTAGTCGGTTGTGCAAATGAAATACTACAACTGTTACCTAAAGTTGAAGCAAAACTTAGTGATCAATTAAAGAATAAAAGTTGGTGATGACGACTTTTCTTTAATCGTCTTGCTTATCTTTTCTACATATTTTTGCAAAAACAACAACACAGCGTTTGTTTATTAGGTGTATTTTTTTTTCGTAATAAAGTAAAGATAACCTCAGAAACATTTTACTGTTTAGGAAAATTATTGAAATTTTTTTGTATTTCGTATTTTTTTTTAACAAAAAAGAAGTTAAAAAATAAATCATTGGCATCTGAATGAACAGCACTAATTTAAGGATAGAAATCTAGTTTTAAGGCTGCCTCTGTCACCGACTGATCTAAGTAAATTACTATCGCACTCGAGTGATGATAAACTTTCTTTCGGATCCATCTATCGGCCGTCACGAGAGATCGTTAAATAATAGAGTCAGAATGGATTTGTTCCAAAAATCTCCGTTGAATTTTCCAGTAAATGCAGGAAACCTCGTATTGACCTAAAAATGAAATGGACATATATATCTATCTACAGCACAGCTCAATTTTGGATATTTTGCTGTACTAGCTATGGTAACCTATGGCGCGAACATCTTGACACAAATTCAAATTCATATTTCTCTAATGAGATATAACCTGTTTTTCAAATTGAAAAGTAGATTTTGGAATCTATATTTTCTAAGCTTTTCATTTAATTTTTTAGAAATATTTTGATTCGGAGTTACAGATGTTTTTCGGGCATACTTCAAAATACTCTTTGCACAAAGGAAAACAACAGGCTTTTTAAAATATTTAATATAACTGGAGCGGATAAACTGTACATTTTTTTATATTGGACTATAGAATTGTAGAGCAGAAATTTCTCTACAAAATGATGTGTTGTTACGATCTTGTACAACTTTTCAGAAAGAAATTACAAAATTAATTTTGTGTTTTTCCATAGTTTTAGTTTAGAATACTATAATATGCAATATTTTTCTGCTTGTATTCTGAAAGAAAGAATAAAGCTTATATCAATCGTACGTCTTCTACAAAAAAGAGCTTCAGTTTTTCCAAATTTTGTATTTGTTAATATCATGTTCTATATGGTTCACGGCTTCTGACAGAATACAAATAGTGTCTTCTCCTCTGACCACACAAGACCGTGTGACGCACTATTTTGTAGAGAATCGTTTCCTCTACAATCTGGCACTCAAATAAACATTTGCTATCAAAAATATTGTTTAAACAAAAAAAAAGTCTTTTCTGCAATTTCGAAATAAAATATCCTGTAAAAATTCTAAAAAAATAAATGAAAAGCTTAGAAAATATAGATTCTAAAATTCATGTTTGAATTTGACAAACAGGTTGTATCTTATTAGAGAAATATGAATTTTCATTTGTGTCGAGATTTTTGCGCCATAGGTTATGTCGCGAAAACTCAAAAATTATCTGTAAACAACTTTTTAGAAATCTTTCGATGTCTACTGTCTGTAGATATATGTGTTTCCGCTAGTTATGACTAGTTTCGGGTATTAACTGTAGTATTTTAACTATAATGATTTTATAGCTTTACGAGGAATAAAACGATATTTCGAAAAACGTAAACTATTGCTTTCGAAATATAATTTTTGAAAACTGACGATAATCCTTTATGATTATATTTTTCTAAATATATTACAATCAAACGAGAAGACTCTGGGATAGTTCACCACGGTCCATTTTAAAATTGATATATATGATCAAAACGTCAATGTATTTTATCGAAAAAAAAATCGTTGATTCGATCGATTTTAGGTTGAGATGAAAAAGGTGAAAAATTGTACACTAGTGGTTGGCACAGTGAAGTCTAGCACTGTAATCATAGAAATACGATGTGTACTCTTTTGATACTTATTAGACTGAGGGTAATTTACTAAGAAGCAGAATTTTCTTGAAAGCAGAAGTCTAAAAACGTCTATCAAGAAATGTGCAAAAGTTTCGTTATGAAAGAAGATACATTTCTAGTCAGTACTTGCTTTAAAGAGATTTTCATTGAAGATTTTTAATGGATTATGTGACTGTTCAGTTAATGACTTTAGAAATCTGAGATTTTTATATGATGATTACCTATTAAAACGTTATCTTGATTTTACCATATTTCCAACATATTCTACAATGTTGTATATGTACTGAAGATAAGCATTCGTTTTTCTCTGACATAGTGCGAAATAAGTAGAACTCGCACAACTGTCATCTTATTCCTTCGTCCAGACACTACAATTCCTTTTTTTTTCGCCTTTTCTTTTTATTCTTCATGACTAAAATACAGTAATTTCTGTATTGCAGTTATTTATTCTTTTTCTATGATTGATATACATTATTCCGTCTATGAATAATAATCGCTGTACAATATAGTTGTGTGTTTAACAATTGTACATGCCTTCACATATTATTGATTTAAAATATTTTTTGTATATTTTCATACAACTTTAAAAGCGTACAACATGACATGGCCACCAGGTATGCAGTAATTACAGTTAACTGTAATGGCAAAACCGTAAAGCTATAAAATCATTATAGTTAAAATACTACAGTTAATACCCGAAACTAGTCATAACTAGCGGAAACACATATATCTACAGACAGTAGAGATCGAAAGATTTCTAAAAAAAGTTGTTTACAGATAATTTTTGAGTTTTCGAGGCATTACCTATGACACAAAAATCTCGACACTCGGAGAAAAGACTTTTTTTTTTGTTTAAACAATATTTTTGATGGCAAATGTTTATTTAAGTGCCAGATTGTAGAGGAAACGATTCTCTACAAAATAGTGCGTCACACGATCTTGTGTGGTCAGAGGAGAAGACACTATTTGTATTCTGTCAGAAGCCGCGAACCATATAGAACATGATATTAACAAATACAAAATTTGGAAAAACTGAAGCTCTTTTTTGTAGAAGACCAGCTGCGTATCCAGGGGAGGGGGGCAAATGGGCAATTGTCCATTTCATTTGGAGATTTGCCCATTGAAATTTTACTTAGCAGATATACCCATGCGTTTTTTTTTATTATATATCTTAGAAAGATATATGTAAGAGTGCCTATAGACAGAATTGTTTGTTTATTTTTGAATTAGAATCTAATTCAAAAATTAAAAGAATCTCATTTCATTTTTTTGTGTTCTTTTTGGACCAAAAATCTTTTG